AAGAATTGATTTTGAATAGTGATATGATGGGAAATGTGTGGTTGAAAAAGAAGAAAAAATTATTGATGTGATGGAAAATATTATTTTATTGAAGAATGTGTGGTTGAAAATGAGAATTGATTTACTGTAGAAAAATTTAATTCCTCCCAAACAGGGCCTAGGCAACGCGGCATCAAAGTTGTTCATAAATTTATTTTATTTTACGACTCTGTCGTACCTTTTTACTTTACACTCGTAAAAATTTAGATCAATGCTATGTGTACATAATGGTGTACACACGACTTTACACCCCCCTCACATGGAGAGGGGTCCACACACAATAAAATATTCATGGACCCCTCTCCATGTAAGAAAGATGAGTGTAAAGCTGTGTGTACACCATGAGGTGTACATATAATATTTTTCAAAAATTTGATAAATTTACACTTATCTATCACGTCAAACACGTGTCCAAACGTGCAAAATTGCGACTGAAGCAGATTTTAATAAAAATTGTTACCATTAAACTTTCTAAAGTAGCCACAATTATTGATCACATTTTCTAGAATTACCCATGTACCCTCCATGATTTGAAACTTGCCTAATAATAAAGTGCAAAAATGACAATTGGCATAATATGGTGTGCATTCGAGTTGTCAAATGTTGTTGGCGTGTCGGGTGTGACAGAAATGGGCCCCATTCCGACGATAAGAAAATCAATTCTTAGAGAAATATAATGGATAAATATATGTGTACGGGCTCGTCGCAATGTACGTCGAGCATAAGCCAAATATAATTGTTCCTAGAGGGGCCTAATTATTCAATTATGATCTTAAATAATATAGAAAAATGACAACCTCAACATTTTGCAAGTCATAAAATTCGGCCCCTTTGGTCAAAGTTTAGGTAATCAAAGACTTTTTCTATTTCGCCCACAATACTAAATCAAATTTGCAACAACCAAAACTTGTGCATTTCTGCAGCCAACATATACTAATTCAAAGTCTTTGATGAACATTCCATTCTGGCAATACGAATTTGCAGAAATTTCTTCAGCCATTAAATGTTCTTAAATACTTTTATAGTGATACTAAAAAAGAGTTTTCAAATTTGTATACTAATAAAAATAGACAAATGGTGGAATCTTCCATTTCAAGCTTGTGTAATTACCAAAAAACTAAATAAATTCAATTGATATATACGTACACACATTGGCTAAAGAATTTACGATATAGAGATACTAAAATGTAAGGATTTTATGCAATTAAGAAAAGTAGAAAAGTTTCTTCCGCGAGGAAAAAAATTAACACGTAGAATTGTACACACATTGGCTTAAGAATTTATATAGTTTCTAAAATGTAAGGATTTTATGCAATTAAGAAAAGTCGCAAGTTTCTTCCGCGAGGAAAAAAACTAACACGTTGAATTCCATAATAAATAACACCCAACTCTTATTAATGTATCTATTGGATAGCTCTTATGAGAATCGATCGATGAATCGATATGGAGAAGTTGGTTTAGTACGATATGCAATCTAATTCAATCAGGAAATGTTTAAACTGGTTGGAATCTATGTTTGTTATGATCATATGGTCATCGAGCATAGTTTAACAAAAAATGGTCGATTTTATTTGAACGATCTTCGTCAACGCTAATTTTGGAAGATTTGTTCGACTCAAAAATTTATTTTGAAAAATATGTAAGATCAGACGTGGTCCTGGAAATTATGCCTTTTCTTTTAATAGACTCGAGTACTTAAACAGTAGAATTTGATTTGTTTGGTGATATATGTCATTTTCAAAATTGAGTAAAATTGAGAAGTTGAAAATAAGTACTCTACGCGAGCACATTTGTTTATGAAGAGAGCTAGGAGTGTTAAATGGGACGAGACGAACCATTCTACTCGCCTACCGTCAAACTTGACTTGGCTCTTGATCGCATATGAGATGAACCAAGCACGAGCCGGTAGTTAAACATAAACGTGACTTGTCAAATTTGTTTTTTATTGAAATTACGTAATCCTCTCAATTTGGCGAGTCTGCTCGTGTGCGGCTGGCCAAATTGCTGCTCGACTCATACCTTTGACTTCCCACTTTACACCCTAGAGAGGGCATAGAAGGTAAAACAAAAGAAATTCAAAGGAAGCTGGTTTAGTTTGGGCCATCTATGACATTTATGGGCCTTCCAAGTTCAAAACCACCGTCCTCAAAACCCCAAATTTTGCAGATGGACCACACTCCTACAGCCATTCGCGCCGATCTCGTTCCAAAATCAAACCCAA